GAGCCGTGGGTTTCTAAGCTGAAGGACAACCCCACACCCCAAGGACGAAAGCCTGGCGAACATGCACGGTGGGGACAGCCGGGAGGTGGGCGTGGAAAAGCGTTTCCAGCCGTTTGGTTCCACCCTGGAGCCGCCGGCGCTGCACGAAGTTCTGGCTGGGGTTAGTGACACACCAGTGGTGTAAAGGACATGAGTAACAAACACTCGGGACTAAGTTACAGCAGAGACACCACCAGCAGGACTGTCCTTCGTCCCCGGGGCCACCCAGGAGCCTGCTGTGTTCCCAGAGGGCCGTTTGCAGAGGCTTCCCGTGTCGTTTCCGTAGGGAATGAGGCTGGTGTGCTGCCGCCCACACAGTGGTTATGTGGCCCCCCATGTGTACAGCAGGGGTGAGAAAAGCAGGGTCTGGAGCAGTTTTAAAATGGAGTTTTAAAGCAGCTGGCGAGAAAAGCCTCCTCCCTGGCCGACGGGGCGGGTTCTCTTCCAGCTCTGTCCCACAAAAAGTGATGTGGACACGGCCGTGTCTCCGCAGGGGACACGCTGGGAAGTGGTAGTTGGTGTTAGCTCAGCTCTAAGAGTCCATTCTCCAAGCTCACATGGTAAAGAAAATCTACTAAGACGTCCTGATGAGCGGGGACCTCTCCTCCTCAGTACTCTGGAAGAGAAAAAACACAGCAATTTAAAGGTGGAACACGACAGTGCCTCCAGCTGGGCTGCCCAGACCCCAGGCAGGGAAAGGAAAAGCTCTTGGCTCCTACTTCTAAGTACAATTTCCTAAAAAAGCACTGCAGGGTGGGTGGCAGCTTGGGCAGGGACCTGCTGTAGCACCTGACAGAGGATGGAAGGCCAGAACCACCCGGGGGATCACAAGGAGAGCTACATACTGCTGAATTACCTTTATTTGCAGGAAAAGCAACTAAAGCAAAGCAGAAAAAACATGGAATGTAGGTGTCCCTTTGTCATTTTGATCCCCGTGGAGCATTCCAGCACATCCAGGAGAGCTGTACACGTAGGGTGGGGCAGGAATGCTTGGGACAGGCCTTGGGCAACGGGACAGTTTGATTCTCTGAGCTGCTGATAACACAGGCAGGCTCCAAAGCCGCAAGGAAAAAGGACCAGCCTCTCCTGTAAAGGAGCCTGGAGTACAGTTCCACTGGGATGTGATGGGACCCACTGATCCAGAGGGGTGGCTGGGTGCTCTGGAGGTTGTAAGGCAGCACTCAGGGAACACTAAACACACAAGACCACGCTAAGCCCACAGCAACTACAAGGACAAAACAGCCTCCTAGAGTACCCAGGCTACTTCTCTAAACAAAGGCTCCACAGTTTGTGTCATCTGAACCCCAGTGACTTGCCTGTTAGGGTGAAATTCTGGCACCAGCTTTCACCCTGACAAGCACGTTAATGCCAGCGTGTCACCTTGTGACAGAACTTTTCATAAACGGATTTACAAACTCTTCAGAGAAAACTCTCTACAGGCTGCTGTCTGTGAAATTCAGCTGTCTTTTGGCCATAAATTCAGAAACAATCCACTGGCACAACGCAGCTGCTTCTCTACTGAGAACACTGACAGACTGCCAACTGAATCTGCCCTCAGATTTTTGCACGTTATCCTTCAGGGTCCTCTAGACAGGCTGATTTATTTTTCACTGCTGTTGGCAGGGGAATTAGGCACAGACACACGACCTGCCTTACCAGGTTTCTTAGATTAACTCCATTCCTTTGCTTTGGCGCGTTTATTCTGAGTCTATTAAAACTTCCCCTCCCTGGAAAGGTCATTTTAAACAAAAACAACATATAAAAACGCGTGCAGAGAGACACCAAAGGGGTCAAATTGACCAAAAGAAAATCAAATACAGGCAGATGGGCAGCAAGGAAGTTCAAGTGCTTCTTACCTCTTCACTTGTCCCCCGGGACCTGCACACCAGCACGGTAAAAACTATCCCAAAGGCAATCCCCAGAGCCATGATTACGAAGGGGATTCCAGTTACAACACTGGCTTCCAGCAGGACGTGCCTGAGTTTGCTGGCAGAGGCCTCATCGATCAGAACACTCTGGAGCAGAGAGATGAAGAAGGAAAAAAAGAGAAAGAACTTATTTCTGTTCTTTAGGTAAGATCACTTCTGCGAAGGGCAGGGAAACAACATTCCCTCAGCTCTCCATCACTGCTTCATTGCATCCTCACATATTCCCCTTCCAAGAATTCTTCCAGGGGCCAGAGGGATCACCTGGTCTGTATTTCCAAGGAAAACTGGGATGTTTAACTTTTGGATTAGGAATGGACTAATACAGGCCTGGAATACTGGTGTGCATCATCAAAAGTAGTCCCCTAGAGTCCTCTCTGAATCCAATTAATTCAGTGGTCCAACCATAGCACAGAAATATTCACAAAAGAGGGATCAAAAAAAGATGTCATCTTGTGAACTCCCTCCTCCTCACCCGAGCATCCCCCTTTTCCTCGTGGCCAGTTCCTTTGAAACCAACAGGAATGTCTGACTGAGGGTGTTTTGCAGGGCTGAACTCAACGCTATGGTCAACAAGCAGCAGGAGGGTGTTAGATAAGAAACAGCAAGAGCTTCCTACCTTGTCACTGTATAAAACAACAAGGAAAGCAGCATTTTCTTTTCAGGCTGGCTCACAGAGGGTGTTTTTGCAAGCACAGACACAAGGCTGCAAGGGCAGGACAGAGCTATTTACCTCGTTTAGGTACATCACCGGGAAAACCAGCGTTCGGATGTTGCCCGTTTCACTGCGTCAGAAATAAAACAACAACCAAAAATTACGGTTTGGAAACTTTTCAGCTTGAGGGTTGTGAAGATAGATTATGATAGAACAGTGAATGAGGAAAGTGTCCCTAAAAAACCTCTGGGCTGTTGCTTTTTATCGTTGGCTTTCACCTCCCTTACTGGGGTAGAACAACCCCAGTCTCCGAGGTGAATCACAGGGTTCTGGATTTGGAGCAGTGGCATTTTTGGGGATTTGGTGGGGAGAGAATGAGAGGGATCCACACCGAGTTCATTCCTAACTGAGTGACAGATTTGTGCCAGGCAGCAGGAATGTGAAGCTAAGCTGACTTTGGAGGTTACTCCTCTTTGTAAAACACAGGAACTATTGTCCAAGCAACACGGGCACAGCAGCAAAAATCCCTCAACATTTGGCACACATGGAATCCCAGCTCAGGCAGAAGTTGTTACTGTGGCAGCTCCCGGGCACTAGGAAACAAGGTGCTGCTGTTCTGAAGGAACATCTCTGACTCTCCCAAGGGGACTGGCCAGCTAAAATACTTTTTAGTTGTTATAGCCAAGCTGTGCCAGTAAACATCAGCTGAGTAGGAGGAATAGCTGCCACACAGCACCAGTGACAAATAAAACAAGGTGTCAGGAAGACACAGGATGAAGGGGACTGTGTTTCTGCACAGCTGAGCTGCAATCTGGGGACGTGCCCCTCACACTGGGACACCCAGAAAACCGGCAGAGCACACTTGCTATCAAATAAAAATGGGGATTTTTACTCACATGTGACCTGGGATTCTACACTGTTCCCATTTGCAGGATTGTCCTGACTGCCAAAGCTGGAGTGCAAAGATTTCTCTCTCTGATACCAATGCAGTTACAGGCAAGACACTTCTCTGTACCCGATCTACCTGCCCTTCTTGAATACTGCCTTTACTCTGCAGCTGGAACTGCAAAATCTACTGGATCTGTGGGAAGAGGGGACACTGCCTCTTGTAACTAAGATTCAGCTGCTCTCTCCAACCAATATTCCATCTGGGCACTGAAGATGGAATTAATTCTGAATGCCAAATCAGCCCTGAGACATCCACCAGGCAGCAGGGAACACTTACAAAAACTCAGGTAGTTTTCTGACGTGAACGTTGATCTGCATGCGCTTGGCTGCCCGCAGGACGAGCCCTGTCAGCTGGGGAACAACAGAGATCAGGGTCAAAAAAACCAGAGCAAACACGAAAGAATAAGAACTACGAGAACACAGCAAGGTCCTGGCACCAAACCAGACACCCAGCAGCATCTGCACCAGACCTCAAGAGGAGAACTGTGGAATTTCCTCCCGCTTTAGCTGCACATAACAGCTCGATGAGTCAGAGCACTGTTTCTGTGAGCCAGGCAGGTCATGGCTGTGCTCTTTTCCTCGACCCACATTCGTGTGTGTGGGCGTAGAGGTCACTGTGGTACTGGTTTTAGCTGGGA